CTCAGTGGGTCTCAAACGGTTTGGTCACAAATTATTCAAAAGATTATTTCCGCGGCACACCTTCATATGATCATTATAGTTATAAAAAAAATAAGAGAATAAAGGAAAAACAGTTATGAAATACTATATGGCAGTAAAACAAGAATAGAGTTTAAAAGGGGAGTGATTAGTAAAATATCCATAAAGAAAAAGTACATCTGTTTACAGTTCTGCTTCATATGGGTGTTGAGAGAGGTATCCATAGATCTCTTAATTTTGCTCTCAAAGTGCACCAGATTGATGCATTTAACTTCAATATTTAAAAAAAAATCTTCCCGGGGGAGCATCCCCCCGGACCCCCCTAGAGGAGGTGAGGTCCGCCCCCCACTCATAAAAAAATACCACTTTACCCCTACCTATATGCCGTGAGCTGATTATCGAGCCTTCATTGTAACAGTCGCGGGTGTACTGTGTGTGTGCGTGTGGGGAGTGTTGCAGTAAAAAATGCCACTGTAGTGCCGCCGCCACTGTGGGCTAAGCCCCGAATGTTTTCAGGTCCAGGCGACGCCCCTGGGTAAACATACCAAACAGGAAAATAATGTACTAGAATTAAAAATCAATGATGCCCTGATAAAAGACCCTGCAGTGTTGGCCAACTCTCTAAATTAGTATTTCACAGAGGTGTGGACTCGAGTCACATGACTTGGACTCGAGTCAGACTCGAGTTACCAATTTGATGACTTTGGACTCGACTTGACAAAATCACAAAACACTTGCGACTCGACTTGGACTTGAACACCAATGACTCGGGACTTGACTTGGACTTGAGCCTTCTGACTTGAGGTGACTTGATAATTTAATTCAGGGGTCTCCAACACGCCGATCGCGAGATGCCGCTTGAAGAGCAGACTCCCGTCGGGGAGAGCAGAATCTTCAGCCGCTGCAACTCTTGCTGAGAATCCATGCAGGCAGGGGCGGGACTTTATTTTGCTGAGCCACCATGCGGCCAATCATATGCGAGGACACACTAGGATCATACCATTATGTGAAAGAAGGGTGGGGGGCAGACGCTCCAAAGACAGCAGGTGTAGTGGTACAGGCCAGATACACAGAGCGACGGGGAGACGGGGAGCCGGATTTAAATGCAAGCGCGTCGGAAGAAGTCAAGAAATTTGCGAAAACCGAAAAAAGGAGCAGCTTCTGGCTGCATTTCAATGATATTGGAGAAAGCAAAGCTGAGTGCAGGATTTGTAAAATGAAAATAACCTTCAGAGCAGGGTTTTTTTTTTGGTAACCACTCAGGATTTATTGCCAGAGGTGGGAGAAGTTCAGATCTTGTACTTGAGTAACAGTACCAGAGTGTAGGAATACTTGGTTACAATAAAAGATCCTGCATTCAAAATGTTACAAGTAAAAGTACAAAAGTATTAGCATCAAAATACAGTTAAAGTACCACCTGCAGAGAGATCTAGATTCAGGTGTTCTTTTCCCCATAGAGAGGCCTCACTGCACATTATCCCTTGCATAAAGATAGATTGTGGGTCCCTTATAACATGCTGTACACAGTGGAAATAAACATTCTGGTCACCTCAACATCAGGGATCTTATACATTAAACTCCTTCTGAATCAAACCGTCACGGTAACCTTACCTTACTGATCCCTCTTACAATAGAAGAAAAACACGTTACTTTACCAGCAGAGAGATAATGGATTATTAAATTATTAATGTGACTAATAAAGAGCAGTTTGATTATTAAGTATTATTCTGTTGATCGATGTCATTACATTTGTTGAAAAGCACATAAGGACTTGTTTAAGACTCGTTTTGTCAAAGTTTAGGACTTGGACTTGACTTGAACTTTCCCATCCTGACTTGAGACTTGACTTGGACTTGAGCGCAAAGACTTGAGACTTGACTCGGACTTGAGCGCAAAGACTTGAGACTTGACTCGGACTTGCAAAACAATGACTTGGTCCCACCTCTGGTATTTCATAAATAGTGCTCTGGACATTACAAAGCTCTTCCCGCCATCTGAGGTCTCACCTAGCCCGACTGTGGATACACACCCCGTTTTTGACCTGGAGGAAATCACAGAGGTTGAGGTAAAACATATAATCTTAGGGTTAAGAGGTTCTAAGGCTAGGGATGCAGATGATTTAGACACCAACTTTATAAAAACACATATCGACGGTCTAATACAACCAATTACTATGTTAGTAAATCAATCTATCAGCATGAGGGAAGTTCCATCATCCTGGAATAAGGCAATAATGTCCAATTACAGACCAATCAGCATCCTCCCCTGTGTCTCTAATGGCGCAGTTCCACTGCAGCGCGGAGCTCGCTTTAAGCGTGCCGTGTCGTGCCGTCCCCTTTTTTGGTTGTGCTTCCACTAGGCCAATTACCGGCGCGGCACGGCGCGGGGCCACTTTTTCACCTCTTTTCTGGCCCTAGAAAATTGTGGTTCTATCGGGGCCAACAAACAGGGCTGAGTCGGGCTGAGTATGCTAAACTAGAGAGAGGAGCGCTGGCAAGAGGGCTAGAACTACAACAAGATGGACATATTTGACCGTGATTTAATTGTAATACACGTTTCAAAATGATGCCGAAGTAACAACATACTGATACCGGTTAGTAAAAACCATGAATTAATGCTTTGTCAAGTCTGCAGACAGACGGCAGGCGAAAAACCTTTTAAAATTCGTGTTTTTCTAGATGGAGATTGGCTAAGCTAACGCAGTATATGCCCCGACCGTCCACACTCACAACAACGGCCTATACAGACATAAATAAAGCAGCGACTGTATTCACCATGACACAGGCAGTCTGTGGTGTGTACTTGTTTAACTTTTGTCGAGTTTCTGAACATATATAAGGAGCTGTGAGCTCTGAGTGCTAACAGCTAACGGCTGTGTTGTGTTTCTGGATTTCTCATTGAAGATGACGTCACGGCTCCGCCTACACTGCGTTACTATAGTAACTACCCCAGTTCCTAAACTGTAATGGAAGCGCAGCATGAAGTGAGTCGGCCCTGTTAAGGCCCAACGCGGCCAAGCCGTACCGAGTGTGGCCGAGGCCGACCGTGTAGTGGAAATGCGCCATTAGGTAGCTGAGAAATCTAATCAAAAAACTAATCACCAAACATTTAGACAAAGGTTTTGCTCCACTCCACCCAATGCAGTTTGGTTTTCGTGCTCACCACTCCACTGAGACAGCTAATAGTGTCTTTGTGGAAAAGGTTAAATGTATGTTGGACACGAGCCCATATGTAGGTGCTGTCTTCCTTGATCTCAGGAAGGCTTTTGACACAGTTGACCACCAAGTGCTCCTTACAAAGCTGACGTATTTCAATTTTTCGGCAGATTCAATACAGTGGGTTAAGTCTTACTTATCGAACAGAAAACAGTATGTTTTGGTCAACGGAGTCAAATCCCCCTACCTTGTGAACCCTGTTGGGGTTCCACAAGGTTCCATTCTTGGACCATTACTGTTTTCTCTGTACATTTATGACTTGCCTAATGTATGTCCTGAGTTGAATGTGCAAATGTATGCCGATGATGCGGTCATCTTTGTACATGGGAAAAACACTGAAATGATCTCATCCTGTCTCTCAAATGCTTTGGACAAGGTTCAACACTGGCTGAACAACATTAGCTTACAGTTAAATGCAAAAAAAACAGTATGCATGATGTTCAGTAAACGACCAGTCAAAATCGAAGGATCCAATGTGTTTTTAAACAGAGCAGAAATAGAACTAGTCCCCCAGTTCAAGTATCTTATTGCTGAACAGTATCATGCCATGCGTATTCCTGACAGTGGTGTCTATCGCCTTACACTGATGCAGAGAAGCTACTGTTGTGTTAATCAGGAGGATTACTACCCCTTGCCTGAGTACACTGTCCATGGCACATCAATGATAATTCTTCACCATTCTATCCCTTTATTCTAGAATAATGGCTAACTTGAGTGAAGAAATCAAGGAGATAATCGGCAAGACTTTGCCAAATCTCCCTGAAGAGACCCATTGGCAAATACTTTCTAAACTTCAGAGCTCTGGCTTGGAGTCAAAAGACGATTTGAAATATGTACAGCAGGAAGACATTGTTGATCTGTTACCTGTAATTCAGTGCCGAAAACTCCAGGATGCATTTAAATTAGTAAATGTATGTTTAATTCAGTGTGGCATTTAAGTAGGGATGCACCAAGAGATGCACCAATACTGCAAGTATCTGGTATCAGGCAAATCAGTACTAAAATAGGGTACACGTATAGAGAACTGGTATATAATTTACCCAGAAACATTCTGATACCAGGAGCCACATTGAGTAACATTAACAGTTACCATACAGAGTTTATTTTGTGAAATTATTTTCATAAAAAGGTTTTTCTTCATATTTTATCATATTGTTGTTGCTTATTGTTGTTACTTATTATAGATCAGATCAGTACTTGGTGTTGGACAACACTTTTACAGTTATCAGTTACTACAAAAATGCTCTCACTCTCTGTCTTTAGCACTTAGGTAATTTATAGAGGTCTGGACACAAACTGGTCCTCAACTGATTCACTGATGTAAGTTCTATGCCAAACTGAAAACGTTTTGATCAATCACAGTAGCAAAGCAGATTTATGTCATCTGGGAGTGCCTCAGAGTTAACGTCAATCATGTTGTAATCATGTTGCCAATTCAAAAAGTACGAAAAACTGATTCATGGGGACTGGACACCCTTTTTAACAGTCAAGACCCCACATTTTCCCACCCATATCGGCCAATACCAATACACATTTCTGTAAGAATGTTAGTAAAAATACAGGTGCAAAACATGTTAAGCTTTTCAGACATCCCTAATATAAGATAACTAAGTGTTTTTTAAACATAGACTAAGTTTTTTTGTTTTCTTTAGGTAATTTGAAAGAAACAAGGCCAATCCACATTTTGCCAAATGTCTGCAGTGACACTGTAATAACTTATTAGCGATGTACCCTAAATCTTTCTTTGTTTATTTTGGTTTTTTTTAGAGACGGAGATAGTTACGTTGGATCTGCAAGTTATTCCAACCTCTTCACCACTGAGTAGTGCTTTGTCAGTCTCTGAGTCTCGATCGACATCATCAGGCACTCCTAATTCTAGCCCTTCACAGCTGTTGGCCATTGCATTATTGTCAAGCCAGGCAGGAAACAGAGATTCAAGCAACAGAGCTTCCACATTTCAAGTACTGAAAACATGGCCAGAAACATTCCAGGTCCCTTGGGAACAAATGCCACAAGAAATACGTTCTGCAATTCTAAGCGGCAAGAGACCTAAACCAATGGAGCGACGCCAGATGGTACGAGTACTCGTAGATGAAATGAGGAGGTATGAGGCTAACCCCACTCGCTCACAGTGTCTCACTGTAATTCGAAATATCATCAGGCAGTACCCAAAGAGTTTTGCTGATATGACCGCAGACTGGTCACTTTTGGGTTGCGGTTATACATCACTTCTGATTCAAGTGAAAAACCGCATTGAAAATGTGAACCGTGGCGGAAACTATGCACACCACCGAGCCTCTAGATCCAGTTCTACATACAAGAGGGGGCCAACCGACACTTATGGATGTACAAGATTTCAGCCAGAGCTCCCTCCAGAAGAAACTAATGAGACTGTGGAGCAGAACCGCCAAAGACTGGTGGAGATTTACAGGCAGGAGGGTGCAGGTGGAGTTGAAAGAGCAGAGGTCAAAAATCAAATGGAGCTCACATTCTGCCTACAACGTCGTCATATAAATGAACTTCCACCACCTGACATTGAAAATATGAGAAGCAAATGGCCTTTTCTTTTCACTCAAATGTGCATATATGCACATTTTGAGTTACTCACAGACATCAATGTGCTTCGTAGCTTGGAACTCAGCATGGTGGAATGTGGGAGAGCCATCAAAGAATACTTCAGGGGAAAACCTACCAACAGAGATGTCAAGGATGTCCTCTCTAATTGTGAAGATAATGAGATGGCACTTTGTGTTGTTCAGCTGCTCATGGCACACTTTGGAGAGGACCTAACAGGGCTTGTCCTTCTTACAAATGTAAGTTTATATTATCTTTCTTGCCCTGTGTTTTACATTTTGATTGCCATATATATCTATTCACAGCAGGTTGACTGAGGATACTTCAGAAGCCCACTTCTTTTACCTCTAGGTTACTGTCACCCAGTGTTTTCTGATTATTGACGTTTGTTTATTTTCCTTCTTAAAAACCATATTAAGTCTCCCGTCTTTGTCTGTTCTCTACAGGTGTCTGCCACCGCAGCTGACGTTGAGACAACCCTCACTCTACCTGCAAGTCCTCGTCTGATACTGCTTGGTATGCATTTCATTGATAGACATGTTATATATCAGATTGGCCATACGCAGATGTTTACGCAAGGTGAGATGCATTCTGATGTTGCTATTACTTTAAGTTTCAGGTGGAACCGGGCAAGTCACTACTGGACGATGGATGATCACCCTTGAGGGCCGTGTCATATCTGAGGGCTTCACACCAACCTTTTTGACGGGACTTGCTGCTGTCTTTGCGATCTACTATATATTCAACCTTCAGTATCAGGAAGAGGCAGCCTGTACTCTGGAATTCATTCAGAGGTAGGACTCCTTTCATTTCCCTGTAATCATTATATATTTTTATTTACAATTAAAATCTTTGAAACCTGAATAACCACAAATCATTACTTTGCACACTTAAAGGGATAGTTTGGATTTTTTTTTACATAAAATGGTATTAGTTGACACAGACATTAACTCAGGCAGGCAGTGAGAAATTTCCCTGCCAGCTGGTCAATTGTCAGGCAAAAATTAATAGCAGAACATGGGGTCAGGTAACAACAAAATGTCAAACCTCAACACAAAAAAAACATGAACCATTCACATGAGAATACAACATATATTGAGTAATTCTGCTGCTTGATGCTCTTATCCAAACTCTCTATATCTTCAAAATATTTTCTTTGTTAATTATGTGTATTACTATTCAGTGGAGCCGATTCCCATATCAAGCCGCCAATAAGCTTGAATAGAGGCGTAATATGTGAACTGGCTCCAGTGCGTAGTAATACACTGGCAATTTTCAACAAATGAAATAGTTCCAAGATATAGAAGGGTCTGATAGGAAAAATCAAGCAGCGGAATTGCACTAAATACCTCATTATGTCGGTACCGGTTAGTAACTCATATCACCTTATGGAATAAAACCCAAACTACCCATTTAAGACGACAAAGTGTTCCTAATAGTTTTCCATTCAGTCTCTGATCTTAACATTTTTCTGATTTCAGGCGCTTCATTGGTATCAACCCAGAGAGAGGAACAAAGGCCATCCGGGGCAAGGTTGTCTGCAAGAAGACGGGTGTGATCGTCCAGAAGAAGTCTGCCACAGTCAACACACACGTCTCCACACTACTGAAGAACCTCCTTGACTTTGAATCGGACTGATGTTGCCACATTATGCCACAAGACACTTTGGTATTACCAGCTTTATAAGCATTGTTATTGTACATTCCCGATTCTAGAGTTATTTTTGATTAATTATTTAGTTTGTTGCTGTTTTACAGTGGCAACACTGGTAAGGAGAGGAACAAGGACCAGCAAGGTGATGGTCATCTTTACCTGAACCAGAAGATTCCTCTTTGTATCAGGACTGTCCACACCCACCCAGAATCTTCCTGAAGTTAAGCATGCACCTACCTCACAGGACTATTTCAAGAGGCAAAACACAAGCCCCACATTTTGCTACTGGTGCATATTTTCTAAATGGTCTTAATGATGCATATTTTCAAAATGTTGCTAATGATGCATATTTTCTAAATGTTCTTACTGATGTATATTTTCTAAATGGTCTTAATGCACATTTAAAAAATGTTCTTACTGATGTATATTTTCAAAATGGTCTTAAAGGTAGGGTAGGTAAGTTTGAGAAACCGGCTCGAGATACACTTTTTGTTATATTCCATGGAATGCTCTTAACATCCCGATAGCAATGAATATCTTAAGTGCTTTGACAAAAAATCCATAAAAAAATGTCATCTGTGGAAGCTGTAATACTGTAAAAAGCACGACCAATCATTTTAGCCGGCTCGGCTAAAATAACTGGATGGCCTACCTCCCTGTCAGCCTTCCATCTGTGCACAAACTTATCTCGTGCCCTCATTGGTCATGTGCGCGTTCGTGTGTGTTGGAGGAGGGGCTCTATAAGGAAGTGGCAGATTTTCTCCGGTTGTGTATTTTCAAATTCTAGCGATCTCGAGCCGGTTTCTCAAACTTACCTACCCTACCTTTAATGCACATTTAAAAAATGTTCTTAATAGTACAGTTTGTTTTCTAAATGTTGCTTATAATGCATTTGTTCAAAAATGTTCTTACTGATGTATATTTTCACAGACAGCAGACAATACAATATTGCAGTAAATTTAGATATTTTAAACTGCTTTTTGAGAGAACATAAACCTCACAGGATTATTTATAGGTTAAACACTTATGTCCTCTGTATTAGTTGCCTTGGTATTCAGCCAAATTGTTTGATCCAAGGTCAAGTTCAAGTTTGGTAAGACAAGTCACATATAACAATAATTTAGAAGAAGTTACAACTGATGTCTCAGGTGTTTTCACATTTGGTAAGGTGCAGTCTCTGACATACAATGTAACAATTTCAGTTTATTGCCATTGTTTCACTTTTAGGCAGTTTAATTTAGCTACTCTACATGTCTTTAGTTTGTTTCTAGGGTTGTCACGATACCAGAAATGTAGTAGTCGATACCAATAGTGAAATTCCACGATTCTCTGTAAATACCACTGTAAAAAACAAAACCAAAACCATAGATAACCATGTACTTCAACATACACTCCTTTTATTACCGTTTGCATACTGGTTTTTGTCAGGAAGTTAAACAGGTCATAATTCCCTCTCTATTATCTATGTTATATTGCTGTGAAAACATCTAATTCAAACAGCTGTATTTATTCAAGTTTCTCCCCAAAAAGTATATTTTACATGATTACGTTTGAACACATGATAACGTTAGAATTTACCTTCGCCCAATACTCATTTTTATTGAACAGAGCCTGAACACATCATAATGTAACTCAATGGTTAACGTTGGCTGTTAGCTCTGCAGGACTGTGCTGCTTACCAGCTGCTAACTGCTAACAGCTAACATTAGCTCTCTTCCTGCCTATTTCAACACTGGGGGAAAAAATATGGTGCGTCCCCTGGACGTGTCAATAGTGAGTTTACTGCATTTCCAACACATTTTCTACGAGACGGCACACCGCGAGTCTCAAAGTATTGGTTCTCGTTACATCCCTACTTGTTTCTCTGGGTCTTCCAACAGCTTCTTTTTCTTTCTTTTTTTTTTTACTGTAGCAGAATTTATGTTGACACTGCCTTTTTAAATAAGTGTGTTTGCATTAAATCCTTTCCAAATTGTTTATTGTTTATTTTGCATTATTTTCATAATAATGCATATTTTAAGCGGATGTCTGTAGCCCACAGAACAATACATATTTTATGTTAATTTAATTAATAATGGCTTTTTAGATATTCTAAACTGCTAAATTGAGTTGTTGTATTATCAATCAAGTAATCTACTGGCAACCCCCTAACCAGAATGTTACTGTGAATCATTAAATGTTTTACAGTAATAAACTGAAATTGTTCAACAGTATGAATACCGTAGAATTTCAGTATATTGCTGGCGTCTCTGCTGCCAGTATTTTACTGTTAATTGAAAAGATATAGCAGTATACTGTATTTTATTTTTACAGTAAGAGGCTGTAAAGTCATTTCACAGTATGAGTACTGTAGTATTACAGTAATAATAATAATAATAATAATGGGTTCCATTTATAAAGCACTTCATATTTGATTTCAAATCCCGAAGTGCTACAAGCAGTGAGCATGAACAGTATAAATAGACATTACACAACACGGTAGAATTAACAGTAAATTGCTGGCGCCTGTGCTGCCAGCACTTTACTGTTATTTGACAGGAAAATGTGTTACAGTGTACATCTGATATCTATCTCCTTCAGCCTACTTTCAGCTGCAGAAACCATTCCACTATTAAATTATTCAGCTATTTCAGGACATTGAGGCTATACATTTTGTTGTTTATACCATTTTTCAAACCTTTTAAATATTAAGCTTCTTCACTATTTGTCCTACTCTGCCAGTTTTACATTTCACATTCAAGTTTTCCAACAGTCAGGGCAGTTTGAGCTGTAAGAATTTTGATTCAAATCATATAACCTTTCTGCATTTTTTTCCTCTAGGTTCAGCAACAACCTTACTTGGTTTCTGCTGCTAAAAGCTCTACAGACACCATTCAACTATTAAAATATTCAGCTTTTTCTGCCTTTTCAGCTAAATTCAGCAACAAATTTACAGGGCTTACAGCATTTGCACGCAGCAGGAAATGCATTTTCTAGTCTCATCTTATTCTGCTTCTTCCACCACAAATGTTGTCATGCTACTCGTCCGGCAGCGTTGACACAAAAAACACATCAAAGCGTGCGGAATGACCGGGATTGGGTTGCTATGTCTTTTATTAGTTTTCATGCAAATTCGCAGAAAACTGCGATCATTTTCTCCATAGGAATCAATGGGAAATCCATTTGAACAGAGCTCAAAAACACTCCTTTGACCCCATACAGATTCCGCATACTTTAACGTAGAACAAAAATTCCAAGTTTAAACGGTTTTCGAGACTATGGACTTTATTAGACTATTTGGATATTTTTTATAGCTAGTATGGTTCTCACGTAGTTTACGTTTTGTGGACATTTCACACTATCACATTTTATAATGGGTGTTTGGGAGAGCTCGTTAAGACTTAGAGTGGTGACATCACGGCTAAAGGGGAGAAGTGCCGGAAAATATTCAGAGTTTTTTTTCCAACTATTGCTCGGCTGGCCACAATTTTCACTCTTCATACTTTGGGGATCACAATGTAGGGATATTTGTCCCGGCCGCACCGATATGCTCATTTAATCAAATGGCTTACACATATAGCAAACACGAGATCCATCAGGTGTTCATCTGGTATCCTAAATACTCTGGGTAGGAGATTTAGCTGATTGGAGTTTTTTACTTAGAAGCAATAATGCAGCACAATATTGTGAATACATTCCCTGAGAGGTTGTCTCTCGTTCACTGGCAGGGCGTTGCCGTGGAAACGCTTTGATCTTTGAACACACCTGTTGTCGTTAACTAAATCCAGTGGTAATCTAAAGATGTTCAGAAACGATGCAGGAATGTGGTACAAGAATCCAAAAAGGTAATAGATAAACAGTTAAAATAGTCAGCTAAAATTAATGGATATTCTTTGTTGTACCTTAACAATACAACTAATGCTATTAATACTTACTCAGCGGAGGTAATGTTAGCATCGGGATGCGCACCCAAGTTTCAGTCACAGTCAACATTTCTCTGAATTTTCTAGTTTCCTATCAAGTTCTTACATTACATTACATTACATGTTACTTGTTAGACGCTTTTATCCAAAGCGACTTACATACTCAATACTGTGGACAATCCCCACAGGAGCAATTTGAGGTGAAGTGTCTTGCCCAGGGACACAACGACATGCTGACTGCAGTGGGGTTTGAACCTGTGACCCCACTGATCCGAACACCTACGGACAACCCACTACGCAACACGCCTCTTACAAATTATAAAACAATCTGAATGGGATTCATTATGGTTAAAGCCTCTCGTTAGCTATTTTCTGTTTATTAATTCACATTCAGATCTCCAACAACAGATCACAAATACACAAAGCACAGCAGTTAAAATACACATTATTAGAATATGTTATAGTTTTAAAAAGTTGGTGGCCTAATGTTTTATTTATTTTTTAAATCTATTTATAAATGTTATGCATAATGCATTTCTGTAGTCTTGTTTGTTGTTGTCTTGATATTGTGATATTGTGATATTGATCTTAACACCATTGCCCAGCATTGAATGCAAGTTGCTTCCCTAACACCACACTAACAGTACTTTGTTTATTTTCTGTCCCTCCAGAGCTCCCTCAGCAACATGTCTGTAATGAGGATGAGGTTCTCACTGACCAGCAGCTCTGTAGTCAGGAAAGGAACTCCAGTCTGGACCAAGAGGACCCAGAGCCTCCACAGATTAAAGAGGAACAGGAGGAACTTTGCACCAGTCAGGAGGAAGAGCAGCTTGAACTAAAGCAGGAGACAGATGTCTTCATGGTGACTCTTACTGATGAGGAAAGTGTGCACAGCGGTCAGACTTGTGCAAAAGAGTCTGTAGGCAACATGCCAGTTATGAGTGTTGTGGTATCAGAAGCACAAAGTCATCTGCAGCTCATCTCTCACAATTCTAATGACTCAGGGTTAACAAGAACTGCAGATCCAGAAATAAACAAAAGACATCACGAGACCAAAAGGAACAATGTAAACAAAGCTAACTTGTCAGACATGCAACATAATACAGTGAAGAATTTCAAATGTGAAATTTGTGGGAAAGATTTTAAGTACATGTCATTATTGCGAAGACACATGACAACCCACACGGATGAGAAGCCATATTCTTGCCAAACATGTGGAAAAGATTTCCGAGAGAAAAAACACTTGATGGACCACATGCAAGTCCACACAGGTGAAAAGAAATTTACTTGCAAAACATGTGAAAAAAAATTCAGATATAACTGTAACTTTAAGAGGCACATGAGAATCCACACAGGTGAGAAACCGTATGTTTGCATGACCTGCGAGAAAGGCTTCACTGACATGTCAGCATTAAAAAGGCATATGAGAGTCCACACAGGTGAGAAACCGTTTACTTGTAAAGCATGTGGCATCAATTTCAGACGTAACGATGAATTATTGATCCACATGAGAAGGATTCACTGACTAGAAGATGTAACTTTGAATTGAAAAGGTATTACATTTACACCAAGTAGATTTCCATATGTACCCACACAAGTGACAAGGCACATAAATGCAGCACTTTTCATCTGGATGAATGTTCACCAGGCAGCTACCTCTGGGACTGAGCAATGCAACATATGTTAACATGTTTAATACTGCCATTAACTTGCAAATATAACTTTTATGATTGCAATATGTCATTGTGTTTTGTATTTTGCAGTGGCATTCAATTGTTTTTTTGGTTGCTATTTTGGAAATAATAATCTACATGGTGCTTAAAGGTAGGGTATGGAATTTTGGAGAAACCAGCTTGAGTGTGCTAGAATTTGAAAATACACAGCCGGAAAAAATCTCCCACTTCCTTACAGAGCCCCTCCTCCAACACACACGAACGCGCACATGACCAATGAGGGCACGAGATAAGTTGGTGCACAAATGGAAAGCTGACAGGCAGGTAGGCCATCCAGTTATTTTAGCCGGGCTGGCTAAAATGATTGGTAGTGCTTTTTACAGTACTACGGCTTCCACAGATTACATTTTTTTATGGATTTTTTGTCAAAGCACTTAAGATATTCATTGCTATCGGGATGTTAAGAGCATTCCATGGAATATAACAAAAAGTGTATCTCGAGCCGGATACTCAAACTTACCTACCCCACCTTTAAGGCAGTAATAAGGAATAGTAATGATGCACTTAATGCTGTGTGATCTAATGTATGTATCTAACTATAAAGCTTTGTTTGGTCATCCTGTAAGAATACCAGATTCACCCTAAACGCTAAAGATATTAGCAAATGATGGTCATCCATGGTGCTGATAGGTATGACTGACATAATAAGTAAGTGGATGTAAGTTGTTACAAACAGTACAGTAGGTGTTTAAATGCTGGCCACATGGGCTTGAGCTTAAGTTATTATATTATTTAAATACGTTGATACGTTTGGTCACCGGAGTTGCCTCATATTAAACTTTGGTAGAGCCGGCTAATTTCCTTTTATTATATTGAATGTTTGAATAGAACATTAAAGTTACCATTGGACTCAGTAAAACATGTTAAATTAGCATAGATCCACTGCCACTAACCAACATCTCAGTTATAATATTACAATCTGAATCTGACAGAAAGGGCCCAGATTCATCCCAACCAAAGTGTCCACACCGGTTAACAGAGGTGGGAGAAGTACAAATCTTTTACTTCAGTAGAAGTACCAGAGTGTAGGAATACTCTGTAAAGTCCTGAATTCAAAAGGTCACTCAAGTAAAAGTACAAAAGTATCGGCATCTAAACATACTTAAAGTACCAAAAGTATTTATTATGCAGATTAGTCCATTTCAGAATAATATATATTATGTTTGGATTATAATTATTAATTTAAGTGTTTATCAAGGCATGTAACGGTGCAGCTAGTTTGTATAACTTTGTATACTGCAGGATAGATTGTGAATTTACTCCAGGTTTAACTAAAGTCTTATTTAAGTGTTGATTATATCATATTATCCAAATCTGCAAAGTAATTTAAGGTACGAAATAAGTGGAGTAAAAGTAGACGATTTACCTCTGAATTGTAATGGAGTAGAAGTACAAAATAGCATAAAATGGAAATACTCAAGTAAAGTACAAGTATTTAAAAATTGTATTCAAGTACAGTACTTTGAGTAAATGTACTTAGTACATTCCCACCTCTGGCCGTAAAAATCGTTTCAAATGTTATACTTGTGAGAAAAGGTTCACCCAGATGTCGAACAAAAGTGATTCATGCAACTCACTGAACAAGAGTTGGGGAACATGTTGTTTTTATGTTATTGTTTGTTTCCATTATTAGTTATTGGGGGATATTGGGACAATGTATTTTTTAACGTCAATCCAGGAGGTGGCGGTAATGTAACTTTATCAGTGCAGACCGCCTCCCTAAACCAACGAAGAAGAACATTCCACCGGAAGTTGTGTAGTTCATACCAACGAGAAAAACACAAGTTGGTTCGGCCGGGCACCCCTCGAGCGTCAGTTTTCAACGGGCAGGGCGTCCCATAGACCTTCATAGACGTTCCATAGCGTTGATAATAGACGCGATGAGAACGCTCCCCGCTGCATCAAAATTCAACGAGCGCATTCCGTTTTCAGCTGAAGCGTATGGTTCAGCGTTCCTGAAACTTTTTTTGGGCGGATTTTATAGAAATGCATGTAATCATAGCGTCTGTAAATAAAGTTTTGGGCGCGCACGTGTGACGTCATCTATGCGACGATGTTAAAGCCCATTGCTACTTCCACTAGGTAAGTAACACGGTGAACATGTGACTGAAATCAAGAAAATACTGCAAAAGAATGCACAAATGTTTTTAATCGTTAATGTCAGATATGTACTAAGTAAATACATTTGTTCCTGCTCAAGATTAGATTCAACTTTATTGTTATTGCACAGATTACAGGTAGCCTACTGGGACAACGAAATGCAGTTTAGCTTCTAACCACGAGTGCAAAAAGCAGTAAAGTGAAAAGTAGTGTACACAATCTACAGAATAAAATATAGAATGAATTGAATGATGAATAAACAGCGAGGGTTATGAATACACTATATACACAGTAGCCTAGCCTAGTATTAACAGTGTGTATGAATATGCTAAGATATATAAAGTATGAAAACGGTAAGCAGTGCAAGTATAGTATAAAATATATAGATATTAATTTCATGATGATAAACATTATGGAACAATGACGAAAAATGTGAATGGAAGTGGCGACGTAGAACTGACACAAAACAACAACAAACTTTTGCGGAGCCAGTTTCATCACCAGCACGGGGTAAACACCACCAATGAGCGCTCAGCTCGATATACCAGCGAGTCGTTTCCCATCCAGCATTTCGCTTCTGCAGCTCGTGGAGAGAAACTGCTCCGCCTCGCTCTCAAGGCTGCCGGTGTTATGCATGGATGGTGTTATGCCGTAGGTTGAAGCCGTGCCGTAGATTGAAGCCCTGTTCGCGGGGACGCGCAAAGGTGACGTCATCGCCTGTATTGAGCGTTCGCCTAGTTTTCTAAGCGGAAAAACGAAAGATACTATTTACTTTCTCTCTTTTGAATGATATATTTCCCATCAGATTAAACAACAAACGGCTGAATAAATAATGTGCATACAATTGCGAGGAGGCTCGTTTTAAGGACACTTTTCAGATCTGTCACAATCTTCGTATTGGAACAAACTTCCGTTTTTGAGTCCACTCTGTTATGTTCCTCCTTCCTACAGAACAGACAATGACAGGATAATATGTCATTTGTCAGTATAGTCCTATTTCTTAAAACCTTCTCTGTTGTTTAAGTGTCTGATAACCACGAATAGTAAGCAATGATATAACAGTAATGATATAACATATGTCAGACACTGTGTTATTTTCAATCAAGCCTAAAAGATAATGTGTTCAAACTGGCTTCACTCGCTTTAATTGCTCCTTTGAATGTAATTTTCCTCTGTGGTTTCCTACTCGATACATGTTTGTATTGTAATGCCACTCATATTTAATTTTTTATTGTATTTTAAGGTGACATTGACATTGACACTTTGAAAGGTGCCCTAAAATAAAGTGTATTATTGATCTTATATCTGTGCCTATATCACACTATTAATGTTCCTTATTTTAGACTAGGTTAATCCTGGTGTCAATAGGGAAGATCTGCACTGTTCTCTACATAACATGTTCAGCAGAGCAGGTATTTCTCCTACCAGATTTGGAACCCCCCCTATCATTTTGCCCAGGATAGTCATAGACTCACCAAAATCACACTGGTGTTGCCTGTTCCCCTCTAGTTTATGCTCACAAAAGCATTTTACTCTGGGCCCAGCAGGTAAAAAACTAAAGAGGGGCTTCCATATCCGGCAGAGAAGGTGTTGTAGCTGCCGGATTTGGAACCCCCCCTATCATTTTGTCCAGGATGGTCATAGACTCACCAAAATCACACTGGTGTTGCCTGTTCCCCTCTACTTTGTGCTCACAAAAGCATGTTACTCTGGGCCCAGCAGGTGACAAATTATAGGGGGGCTTCCATATCCGGCAGCCAGCCACAACACCTTCTCTGCCAAACGACTGACACCTCTTATTGCATGAATAATATTTGTGATTGTTTATGACCGTAGTTATTATGTATCAGTTATGTGTTTTTAATGGGGTAAGAGTTGATTAAATGAATGACACAACAATAAAAAAATTAAAATAATCATAAAGATTCAGAAATATTCCTTCATGCCCATGACAGGTGTCCCACTAATGCCAAGCCCCGTAAATATTAGGTGACCTTTATTTGTCAGATATGATCTTACAGGTTACAGTCATAGGGAATTGTATGGTTGCCATTTATAATGTATTTCCAGTTACCTATGTTACCATAGCTCAAAACTGTCTTTTTGTAATCATGCTATGTTGATGTCGTTAATTCTTCTACAAAGATAACGCCACTGTAAAATGTAAGGTGTTCAATTCCTAATTGTTTTTTCTTCTCTCAACAGATTCTTCTGAGTTCTCAGTGAAAGCTAAACACCATTATAAGCTGTAATAGCGTAAATCCAAAGGCACTTTTAAGAGCCACGTCCCCGTCGTTTCCCCGTCCTTGCTGTAGTGAAATTGTCCTATCTCTGTTGCTGTCTGTGTATCTCTGTCTGTGTACCTGTGTATGTGTCTTATCTGTCCATCTTTCTGTTGTTAGTCCCTTTCTGTGTTTTTGTTTTTCTATACTTGTTTGTCATGACTCGACCTAAGTTCAGGCCCTGCCCAGCTTGCCAGACTCCAAATCAGAGGAGCAGGAAAACGTGCAGTGCCTGCTACGGAAGCCTGTCAAACAAAACCAAACTGAAAGAAAAAGCGGCATCACTGAATAGTGAATGGGGCCAAGGTGTGGTGAAAAACAGAAATGTTGGACGTATAATTGATTCTGCCTGTATTGCAGTAAGTACAAATATTTTACTGTTAATTGAAGTGAAACTCCCTTTTTTTTTTTTTATACTAAAAATATTTGTACATTATGATCAGGCCTTTGAAAATATAGTCTTATTGTCAGATGTTACATCTTACAGTGATCGTATTTACCTCTTTGACCCATCTGTCTGATTGTGATGTTTAAATGTTGTAAATATTTTGTGAGAGGTTTTTTTTGGTCCAAAAAAAGAGCAACAATGCGTATTGTTCTTTGTAAAATAATTATTTTGTTGTAATGAAGGCAATGGCAGAAACAGCAGGTGTACCTTAGCCCTTGCATGCAAATAGCAATTAGTCTTACACAATGCAAGATACCTTCATGTTGCTTGTATAATAATCCAAAAGAAAGTATTAATGTGTTTAAGGTAACGTGTCAAACAAATGTGTGTCAACTGCTTTTGTTCATTTCAGGTGCGGAAACTTGAGGCTCTAGGCTACAAGCCAATTCTATTTTATGGCAAGCCAAATAGGGCTTCAAATATGTGGGCTGCTGATATAATAACCCATCTGCCCCCCACTCCTGCCACCAAAACCTTACTGGACAAAATGCGGAGGGCTTATGAATTCCTCTTGGCAAAGGGTAAGAGTATTTTCTTTTTCAAAAGATTGTGTTAAATGCATATATCTACATATACATATATTTGACTACCTTTTTTTATTTGAACAAAAACTGTAAGTAAACCTGCATTACAGACCTGCATCTGAAACTCCCACAGCCGAGCAACCACAGACCCTTAGCAGAGAGCAGCAAGAAACCCTCAGTGCAGAGCAGCAAGAGACCCTCAGTACAGAGCAGCAAGAGACCCTCAGTGCAGAGCAGCAAGAGACCCTCAGTACAGAGCAGCAAGAGAGACCAGCTCCCAAGCAACACCAGACCCTCAGTGCAGAGCAGCAAGAGACACCAGCAGGGACCTGTTGAAGATGTCTGTGAACACCTCTGCCAGCTGAATTGCACACACCCTGAGAACACGGTCAGGGATGGCATCAAGTCCAGGCCTTTTGTGGGTTAACCCTTTTAAAGGATTTGCACACATCTGCCCTTTTTAAAACAAAAGGGCAGGGATCCCGATCCTGCTGTGCCTCTCTGATCTCAAAACGACCATTAAAAGCATTTAGCTCATCTGGGAGAGGCGCACATGCAGACAGTCCCCCAGCACCACCCGCTGCTCCTTTGTAATCTGTCATTGTTCTTAATCCCGCCCACATGTTCCGGGTGTTACAGCCTTTGAAGTCAGACTCCACTTTGGCTGGTGCCCCACGAGGACGCATATGGGAAAACGCATACACAAACGCAATCGCAAAAAAGGCTTCCGTCCACACGCAATAGACACCGGATAGTGTCTGTTCACACGAGACAGCTCCGTTTAGCTCCAACCGCTGGAAATGCTGCAGTACATATGCCGAGCCTGTACGTGGCGCTGTAACTTCCTCCACAAAAGCAGCGAAGAAGCATGGTTGTCATGGTTACCCTTCTGTTTATTCTCCACGGTGGGGGCCGAGGGAACCGGGCAGAGTTTTTCGCCGGTCAACGTGTGTTAAAGTTTCAATCTTCCGGACAAAATTATAAAAGTGCCGGTCAAAGGTCTTTTTGTTATTTATTGAGCTTTAAAACAAATTAATAACGACTATATATAATAATATAATAATAAAATACACAGAGCCTCTCTTTTTCCTCCCTCTTCTGACGGCGTCAGTGTCTGTCTCATGCAGCAGCTGATCCAGTAATGAGTGACCCGACAGTAAAAATAAACATATTTATAACTAGTTTAGGTAGTTTGAGAGGCAATAAAAATAGCTAAGGGTGATGATCTGACTTGAAGTGTGTGTTTTGCTCCGTTCACCGCTGCATCACAGCGGGAGGAGCTGAAGGTGAGCTGAAGGTGAGCAGAGCTGCGTGTCTCCGTCCTGTCAGATTAGACTTGACTCGCGTTTATGTCCATATCGAGAGAAAGATAAATAATCTGAATTCAGTGTGCAGTTTACTTTGACGCGGGGGTGAGCAGCAGAGGCGGGGCTATTGCGTCATCATTATCAGAAAATGATCGTATAGAGGCGATCACACGGAGCCGTATGACCCCCCAGAGCGCTCCGTTCCCAGATCTATCCACCTTGGGACCTGTTATCGTTTGCGGGGTCCGTTTCTATCGCTTAGTTACGGCCTCGTGTGGCAAAAAGGGCTATACGCAAGAGAAATATGCGGATACAACCCGTTTTCGTCCTCGTGGTGCACCATCCTTTGTCTCTGTATTGTCCAGCCGTGACTTTTATACCTAGGCCCTCTGACCCCAACGAAGAAGAACATTCCACCGGAAGTTGTGTAGTTCATGCCAACGATAAAAACTAAAGTTGGTTTGGCTTATTTTGTCTCTTCATACATCCATATATTTCACACAGTAGAAATGGCTGCAGTTGAGAAACTGAGAAGTGTTATCAACGAGCGACTAGCTGCAGCTGCCAATAAAATATTTGAAGTTTTTGCTCAAGCTTTATCAGCATACGAGGAGGAGATTTGTCGTCAGCGCAGATTATTGGATACCGTCTTGAAGCCTCAGATAAAGCTGCACAGAACAGTTGTTGCCGTGGAAACACTTTGATCTTTGAACACACCTGTCGGTCGTTAACTAAATCCAGTGGTAATCTAAAGATGTTCAGAAACGATGCAGGAATGTGGCAAAAGAATCCAAAAATGTAATAGATAAACAGTTAAAATAGATAGCTAAAATTAATGGATATTCTTTGTTGTACCTTAACAATACAACTAATGCTATTAATACTTACTCAGCGGGAGTAATGTTAGCATCGGGATGCGCACCCAAGTTTCAGTCACAGTCAAAATGTCTCTGAATTTTCTAGTTTCCTATCAAGTTCTTACAAATTATGAAACAATCTGAATGGGATTCATTATGGTTAAAGCCTATTTTCTGTTTATTAATTCACATTCAGATCTCCAACAACAGATCACAAATACACAAACCATGCATTGAATGCAATTTGCTTCCCTAACACCACACTAACAGCACTTTGTTTATTTTCTGTCCCTCCAGAGCTCCCTCAGCAACATGTCTGGAATGAGGATGAGGTTCTCAGTGACCAGCAGCTCTGTAGTCAGGAAAGGAACTCCTGTCTGGACCAAGAGGACCCAGAGCCTCCACAGATTAAAGAGGAACAGGAGGAACTTTGCACCAGTCAGGAGGAAGAGCAGCTTGAACTAAAGCAGGAGACTGATGTCTTCATGGTGACTCTTACTGATGAGGAAAGTGTGCACAGCGGTCAGACTTGTGCAAAAGAGTCTGTAGGCAAGCCTCAGATAAAGCTGCACAGAACAGGTGTGTAACAAACAATAAAATACTTTCTTATTCTGTGTGACTGGCGAAGCCACACACAGTATAGTATTCAACATACTTATCTCATCTTATTCTCCTTCTTCCGCCACAAATGTTGTCATGCTACTCGTCCGACAGCGTTGACACTAAACACACAAAAAACACATCAAAACGTTTCGGAATAACCGAGATCGGGTTGCTATGTCTTTTATAAGAGATTCGCCTAGCCCAGGGGTCTGCAACCTTTTTGACCAAAAGAGCCATTTTGCCCCCTTTTCCACCAATTATTTTTGTCTGGAGCCGCAAAACATATTTGATAGCTTGATAGCTTATAAAGTTGTATATATTGTTACATCATAGACATAAACTACAGTTTTTTTGCATTTATTATGTATTACATTATAGAAAACTGTTTACCTCTAATAATAAACAAAGAACTCTTATAAGGAGAATTAAAAAAAATACACAGGCCTACTTTAAAATAAATCAACGCACTTGGGGAGTCCTCTGCACATTTGAAGAAAATGAATATAATTAAAATGGGCCCACTTTGAAATAAATAAAACATATAGCTGCACCCTAAAAAGAGTTAACTGATTGAATTATGACTGAAGATCGTCAGCTGTCTTCCTCTTCCGTGTTGTTCCTCCAATACGTAAAGGCTGCAGCACCTTTAACAACTTCTCTCCACATATCAAACATACCGGTAAGCCAGCATCGTTTGCTGTGAAAGCATATAACTCTGTCCACGCAGAATTAAACCCTCTGTGTCCCTCCGCTACTTTTATTTTCTTTGATTTATCCGTAGTTCGCTCATCAAGCCGGGGTCAGGTTATTCGCCTGCAAGAAAATGCGCTGGCGCGGGACCGTAGCAGGATATGACGCATATTTTAGTTGACCTAATTAAAACCTTTTTTTTTAAATTTCTTTATGTGTCACAGTATCACCTCAAAATACAAGATACGAAACATTTTCAACCGTGCAACAAAATATAAATAGTCCTACAAATATTTTTATTTTATTTCCTTCTTATTTTTGTCTAAACTCAAGGGAGCCAGAGCAGAGGGCTTAAAGAGCCGCATGCGGCTCGAGAGCCGCGGGTTGCCGACCCCTGGCCTAGCCGTTTTCACGCAAATTCGCAGAAAACTGCGATCATTTGCTCCATAGGAATGAATGGGAAATCCATTTGAACAGAGCTCAGAAACACTCCTTTGACCCCATACAGATTCTGCATACTTTAACGTAGGACAAAAATTACAAGTTTAAACGGTTCTCGAGACTATGGACTTTATTCGACTATTTGGATATTTTTGATAGCTAGTACGGTTCTCATGTAGTCGCAGCTTACGTTTAGTGGACATTTCACACTGTTTCACATTTTATAATGGGTGTGTATGGGAGAGCTCGTTAAGACTTAGAGTGGTGACATCACGACTAAAGGGGAGAGGAGCTGGAAAATGTAGTGGAGTTTTTTTTCCAACTATTGCTCGGCTGGCCACAATTTTCACTCTTCATACTTTGGTGATCATAATGTAGGGATATTTGTCCCGGCCGCACCGATATGCTCATTTAATCAAACGGACTTGCACATATAGCAAACACGAGAGCCATCAGGTGTTCATCTGGTATCCTAAATACTCTGGGTAGGATATTTAGCTGATTGGAGTTACAGTTTTTTACTTAGAAGCAATAATGTAGCACAATATTGTCAATACATTCTCTGACAGGCTGTCTCTCGTTCACTGGCAGGGCGTTGCCGTGGAAACGCTTTGATCTTTGAACACACCTGTCGGTCGTTAACTAAATCCAGTGGTAATTTAAAGATGTTCAGGAACGAGGAATGTGGTACTAGAATCCAAAAAGGTAATAGTCAGCTAAAAGTGAGCTAAAATTAATGGATATTCTTTGTTGCACCTTAACAATACAACTAATGCTATTAATACTTACTCAGCGGGGGTAATGTTAGCATCGGGATGCGCACCCAAGTTTCAGTCACACAGTCAACATTTCTCTGAATTTTCTAGTTTCCTATCAAGTTCTTACAAATTATAAAACAATCTGAATGGGATTCATTATGGTTAAAGCCTCTCGTTAGCTATTTTCTGTTTATTAATTCACATTCAGATCTCCAACAACAGATCACAAATACACAAAGCACAGCCGTTAAAATACACATTGTTAGAATATGTTATAGTTTAAAAAGGTTGGTGGCCTAATGTTTTATTTTTTTATTTCATAAAATCTATTTATAAATGTTATGCATAATGCATTTCTGTAGTCTTGTTTGTTGTTGTCTTGATATTGTGATATTGATCTTAACACCATTGCCCAGCATTGAATGCAATTTGCTTCCCTAACACCACACTAACAGTACTTTGTTTATTTTCTGTCCCTCCAGAGCTCCCTCAGCAACATGTCTGTAATGAGGATGAGGTTCTCAGTGACCAGCAGCTCTGTAGTCAGGAAAGGAACTCCAGTCTGGACCAAGAGGACCCAGAGCCTCCAGAGATTAAAGAGGAACAGGAGGAACTTTGCACCAGTCAGGAGGAAGAGCAGCTTGGACTAAAGCAGGAGACTGATGTCTTCATGGTGACTCTTACTGATGAGGAAAGTGTGCACAGCGGACGGACCTGTGCAAAAGAGTCTGTAGGCAACATGCCAGTTATAAGCGTTGTGGTATTAGAAGCACAAAGTAATCTGCAGCTCATCTCTCACAATTCTGATGACTCAGGGTTAACAAGAACTGCAGATCCAGAAATAAACAAAAGACATCACAAAACCAAAAGGAACAATGTAAACAACGCTAAATTGTCAGACATGCAACGTAATACTTGCACTGTAAAAAAAAAGAAAATGTGAAACTTGTCAGAAAGATTTTAAGTACATGTCAATACTGCGAAGACACATGACCACCCACACGGATGAGAAGCCATATTCTTCCCGAACATGTGGAAAAGATGTCCGAGAGAGAAAACACTTGATAGGCCACATGCGAGTCCACACAGATGAAAATGTATTTAATTGCAAAACATGTGGAAAAAAATTCAGATATAACTGTAACTTTAAGAGGCACATGAGAATCCACACAGGAGAGAAATGCTAGTTTGCATGACCTGCGGGAAAAACCTTCATTGACATGTCGGCATTAAAAAGGCATATGAGAGTCCACACAGGTGAGAAATCATTTACTTGTAAAGCATGTGGGAACAATTTCAGACGTAACGATGAATTATTGATCCACATGAGAAGGATTCACAGACTAGAAAATGTAACTTTGAATTGAAAAGGTATTACATGGTTTACAACAAGTAGATTTCCATATGTACCCACACAAGTGACAAGGCACATAAATGCAGCACTTTTTTCATCTGAATGAATGTTCACCAGGCAGCTACCTCTGGGACTGATCAATGCAACATATGTTAACATGTTTAATACTGCCATTAACTTGCAAATATAACTTTTATGATTGCGATATGTCATTGTGTTTTGTATTTTGCAGTGGCATCAAATTGTTTTTTTGGTTGCTATTTTGGTTTTGAGGTGACACTTGCTGAAGTTGGAAATAATAATCTACATGGTGCTTAAGGCAGTAATAAGGAATAATAATGATGCACTTAATGCTGTGTGATCTAATATATGTATCTAACTATAAAGCTTTGTTTGGTCATCCTGTAAAAATACGAGATTCACCCTAAACGCTAAAGATATAAGCAAATGAGGGTCATCCAGGCTGCTGGTATGATGACTGACATAATAAGTAAGTGGATGTAAGTTGTAACAAACAGTAGGTGTTTAAATGATGGCCACATGGGCTTGAGCTTAAGTTCAGTCAGACAACTCACGTGTTTCTTTAATATGTTTATTAGAAGCAGCATATAGTTGAGTTTGGCGACTAGGCTCGGGCATCATCACTCCATAGATATACATAGCACGATGAGTGATGATTAAATAACTAAACCCCGAGCCTACGGGTGGAAGCTGGGGTGGTGGTGGGGCAGGCAAGCAGCAGCGACGTAGAGGTAGCTGCAGCAATATCAAGCAATGCATAGAGAGATATCTGACAGGTTAAATAGAGCGGCACATTAAGGAGACTGTTTGGTTGGTTGTAGAGTGGCAAGGGGCGTTATGTATGAATGCAGCATAAGTGCTCAAGTTGACTGCCTGAACTAGCTCGCAGGCTTCGCCCCATTTATTATATTATTTAAAAACGTTGATTAGTTTGATCACCGGAGTTGCCTCATATTTAACTTTGGTAATACTAATAAGAGATTGCATTTGAATCACAAGTAAGATCTTGAACAATTTCAAATAAAAAACGAAATGGTTCTCAGATGGCATCTTATTGCTTTCCTTTCATGCAACATCAAGTTCTACTTTTCATTTTACAGGAGAATACTTTCCAAGCCGGTACATTCATTTGACGGCTATCAGTTAAATGAAAAACGTCTATCTATGTTTCTGATTAAGGTTTTCCATGAAAAAGTGTTCACACATTACTATGTAAAGTCCTTCCACCCTTGTAATGTGTTTTTTTTTTTTTTTTTTTTAAACATTGTCTTTGCAATGGCTTAAAAAATATGAATCATGTTAATGATAGCTACAATTAAATAGAGCCTTCTCATTTCCTTTATTATAATGAATGTTGAAATAGCACAGCAAGGTTACAATGGCCACAGTAAAATTCACATGTTAAATTTGCACAGATTCACTGCCACTAACCAACATCTCAGTTATAATATTAAAATCTGAATCTGACAGAAAGGGCCCAGATTCATCCCAACCAAAGTGTCCACTACCTTTCTCACAACTCTCACAGAGTCGAAAGCCATGCAAGAGCAATTCACAAGAAGACCAGTACTGATCAGGAACCAGAGAGCAAATGTTTAAAATGGGGAGTTTCATGATTTCTTAAAGTAAAAAAATCTACACAAGGTCCCACATCGGTTTACAGAGGTGGGAGGAGTAGGCTACTCATTTTGTACTTCAGTAAAAGTAGAAGTACAAGAGTGTAGGAATATTCTGTTACAAGTTAAAGTCCTGCATTCAAAGGTTACTCAAGTAACAGTACAAAAGTAAAAGCACTTATTGTGCAGATTGGCCCCTTACAGAATAATATATATTATATATTATAATAATAGTTATTGATGCATTAAAGTGTTAGACAAAGCTGGTAAAGGTGCAGCTAGTTTTAATCACTTTGTTTGCTGCAGGGTAGATTGTGAATTTACTCCAGGTGTAACTAAAGTCTTATTTAAGTGTTGATTATATTTCACATCATTAATCCAAGTCTGTAAAATAACTAAAGGTACAAAATAAATGATTAGTCTCTGAATTGTAGTGGAGTAGAAGTACAAACTAGCAAATAATGGAAATGCTCAAGTAAAGAACAAGTATCTAAAAATGTTACAGTACTTGAGTAAATATACTTTACCCCTCTGCCGGGGAAAAGCATTTCAAATTCAAAGATTCAAAATTGAAAGGCTTTTTTTTCATATGCACAGTAGTTACAGTGTAGAAAATGGCATTGAAAATCTGAAGTCTCAAGGTCCCCCAACATTGTAACATAGTTATATAGGACATAACACAATAAAACAGATACAAAAAATAAAAATAGTGCAAGAAGAAACAGTAGAAGAAGTTTATGTTGCAAGACTAATGTGCAAGTAATGCCGATCAAGTAAACTATATATACATGTCAGAACAATGAATAAATACAATAAATTAAATAATGCAGAGAGTGTTGTAATTGACTAAGTAAACGCAGGAGTCTAGATACATGTAAACAGTGGCGACTGGTCATTAGGGGCAGGTGGGGCACAGCCCCACCTAGTGTCAGCAGAAAGTATTACACATAATGATTACAAAAAATGCAAAGAGATGCAAAAAAAGAAAGAAAAAAATATATAAAATATATTTTAAGGTCATGTTTAATCATCTGATTCGTCTGTACATTGCTGTTTTAGTCTGTGTTCTTCTAATTAGTGTCTACAGTGCCGTTTTGAGCCATGTGGGACAAAACCTGATCATGCCCCACCCTCTCACTGTCAAAGTGAACGGTGACTGTAAAAACTACACTGCGCATGCTCAGAGTATTCTTCAATGTAATGTGTGTGGCAAAAAAAAAAAGACCATAGGGGCACAGAGCTGTCATCCCCACCATACGTCATCTCACATCATTCAGAGCTGATTGGCTGTAAGTACGTGTGCCGCGAAAAGTGTGGTGTGTGAAGAAGAGACGAGAGAGCTGCAGTGACGCGTCCTAAAACCAGGAAGTAAGCTGCGCGTGGCTTCCCTCGACAAAAAAGCAATGAGGTTTCTCCATAGGATTTTAGAAAATAGCTCGAAATAAGATCTGTGGGAAACGTACCTGTTAGATAAATGCACGTTTTGTTCAGCCGGATAACATCCACATGTCTACCCTACTTTTATAATTGTTTTATCATAAATCTATCGATTAGATTTATGATAGACTTTTGAAACTCCAAGAAGATAAGGAGGACTTTTACAAAAAAGTTATAGAAATGTTTGTCCAGAAGGATAGGAAAATGGACTTCATCTTCAAGTCAAGGTAAGACCGCAATTTTATTGAAAATGGGATCTTACTAAGAGAGAACAATTCAATATTTAAATGATAAAATTACATTTTTTGGGTATCCTTTTGTTGAACTGTCTGTTTAAAATTAATCGAAGCATCAGACAAAAAAAGCTTTTGAAAATAATATTATATTTTGGTTTAGGTCAAAATATAATATTTGTAAACCTGAAGAGTCAGTGCCAGTGCCTCACCAGCCATGAACCTCACTGCACGTCACTGCAGAAGCTTATATATAGACATCTACGTTTTTTGTGCCCCACCACTTTTGTACATATAAAAACGCCACTGCATGTAAATAGAATAAGATACAAGAACAGAGTGTTAAATTAAATATACAGTAACATAAAATAAAATACTGTTTATTGCAGGAATAACTACAAATGTGACACTTGTGAGAAAAGGTTCACCCAAAAGTCAAAAAAAGTGATTCATGCAACTCACTCACTGAACAAGTGTTGGGGAACATGTTGTTTATGTTATTGTTTCCCTTGTTAGTTATTGTGGGAGATTGGGACAATGTATTTTTGAACGTCAATCCAGTAGGTGGCGGTAATGAGCGCGGAGACGGAAGGAGCCGGAAGAAGGAAGTGAAGTCGGAGATGCGTTGCAGAAAGCTCAGAGAGAATCGGAAAACTCGGATACATACAGAAACGGTAGCATTGGACTGTTATTTTGGCGGAATTGCATAAACTGTACATTGACTGTTTCATCATGTCAACCAGCTCAGATGGTAGCCAAAGAAACAATATGGAATGGATGATATCCAAAGCTGCGAGGAAGAAAAGATCTTTGAGAGAAAGAGATAGCTCAGTAAGAGCTCGAAGTTGGTCGGATTGGTCGGGTGAAGCAGACAAGGCTAATCAAAGCAAAAAATCTAAAGTCAGTCAAAATGACAGCTAAGCAATTTTGAATAAAGAACTAGAACACGAGTGGAAAGTTGTAATAGAATTCAATCAGGATGGTGGGCATTACCACCCGATTAAACTTACCAAAGCAATTGAAAAAGAGATTGGAAAAATTAAATTAGCTAAATTCATGAACAACAAGCGGGT